AGAAGTTCCATCTGCCCAGTTCTTTGCATTGGTGCTCAGCATGCACTTATCCAAGTGAACTATACAAAATTAGCCAGAGAAAGAAAAAGGAAAATAACAATGGCTACCATGAAACAGAAACATCTATAGATTTTTCTTCACTTCCTACCCAAAACCTTCAAGCTGAAAAAATTTTATTATTTATACCTAAATATACTAGGTAGAAGTGGCAAGCAGATGCATCACTGATAATTATCATAAAGGATATATTTAAAAAACCACCTGTCATTCTGAAACTCTGAGCCATCAATGAACAAAAAGTTTAAATAACTTGATCTTTGAAAAAGCATAATTTTTTTTCTATTTTTTGTCTTAAGTAAAGCAGACCCACTAATGATGAAATAAGCCCATGACTAAAAATGTATAAAGCCAATCTATAGTTTAGTTATTAATACTGGGCCCCTAATCAAATTTCTCTGCCAGCTTTGTTCAGGTATAACTGACAAACAAAAATTGTATATATTTTAGCCATTACTCTCTTAGCAAATTTCAAGTATATTATTAACTATAGTCACCATGCTGTACATTAGCTCCCAAGAACTTATTCATCTAATAACTGAAAGTTTGTACCCTTTGACCAGCATCTCTCCATTTCTCCCACCTGACAGTGATTTGTCTTTGTGTGTCTGGCTTATTTCATGTAGCATGATGTCCTTCTAGTTCATTCATGGTGCTGCAAATGGCAGGATTTCCTTCTTTTTTATGGCTGAATAATATTTCACTATATATGTATACTATATTTTCTTTATCTATTCATCCACTGATGGACATTGAGGTTGTTTCTATATCTTCGCTATTGTGAATAATGCTGCGGTGAATGTGGAAGTGCAGATATCGAAGATCCTGATTTCGTTTCCTGTGAAAATACAGTTGGCCCTTGAATAATGTGGAGGTTAGGAGTACCAACTTCCCATACAGTTGAAATCTGCATATAACTGCAATCAGCCCTGCACATACTCAGATTCTCAGCTGTGGAGCTGATCCTTAAACAGCGTGGGTTTGAACTGCGTGGGTAAATTGAACTCTGTGGGTCAACTGAAAAAAATCCATGTATAAATGAACCCACATAGTTCAAATACGTGTTGTTTAAGGGTCAAATGTACATGCAGGAGTAGAATTGCTGGATCATATGGTAGTTCTATTTTAATTTTTTTGAAGAGCCTCTATACTGTTTTTCTTAAAGGCTATATCAATTTTACATTCCAACAACAGTGTACATGGGTTTCCTTTTCTTACCCCCCTTGCAACACTTGTTATCTCTTGTCTTTTTGATAACAGCCATCTAACAGATGTGTGATGATAGTTCACTGTGGTTTTGATTTGCATTTCCCTGATGACCAGTGATGCTGAATGCGTTTTTCATACACTTATTGGCCATTTGTACATCTTCAGATTCTTTGCCCATTTTAAAATTGTTTTTGTTTGTTTGCTATTGAGTTGTATGAGTTCCTTATATTTTTGATATTAACCTCTTATCAGGTATGTGGTTTCCCTAAACAAATTTCAAAAAGGCTTCTTTTTATTAAAAGAAAAACAAATACCTCCAACATTGATGCAAATTCTCCTATATATAAGCAGCAGTTACAAACAATAAGACTAAAACAACAAAAAATGCAATAAAGACATAAAACAACTACAAGTAAAAAAAACAGCATAATCCTAACTATATTCCAAACACTTCTTAGAGAACTTTTTACCTTAGAACTTTTAAAAAATTCTCATTTGACCTATGCAGCAACCCTATGGTATAGGTACTATTACCTCTGTTCCAAAGATGAGAAATTTAAGGCATATAGAAGTAAAGTAACATGCCCCAATGCTACAGAGTTAATGGCAGGACTAATATTCAAACAGTTACCATACTTCCAGAGTCAACACTCTTAAGCATCATACATACTGCCTAAAACACATTTAAAAAGATGTTTGAACTTACTCATTAAGAAATGCAATATTAAATAAGATTGCAATTTCATCTGTAGACTTGGTATATAATTGAAGGAGAAGAGAAGGGTCTCAGTCTTTATATAATGCACGTTGAGCCCTCCTTCTGAGCTCCCAAGCTCATTTTACAAGGCCACCATTACCCTGATTGCAAAACCAGACGAAGACATTACAAAAAAGAAAATTATAGGCTGATATCCCTGATGGATGTAGAGGCAAAAATCCTCAACAAAATAGTAGCAAATCGAATTCAGCAAAACATTAAAAATGTCATACACCATGATGAAGTGAGATTTATTCCTGGGATGCAAGGCTGGTTCAGTCTCCGCAAATCAATGTGATACACCACATTAACAAATTT